TGGAAATCTGAAACAAACTCAGCAACTGTGGCAGCATCTATGGAGAATGAAGAAGTCATACCAGACTCTAAACATTAATCCTGCTTCTCTCTGTACAGATATTGCCAGACTTGCTAAGTCTCTCCAGCATTCTTTGTGCTTGTTTGATCTAAAATCTTAGTTTTCTGCTATGGAAAGAAAACTGTAAGTTCAAGGAGAAAAGGCTATTCTCTCTGCTGGGGATAAATCCAAACTTGACAATATTGGGTGACACCAAAATTGGTGGTACAATGGACAATGAAGAAGGCTATCTAAGAGTACGGTGGGATCTTGATCAACTGGGCCAGTGGGCTGAGGGATGGTAGATGGAGTTTAATTCAGATAAATGTGAGATGTTGCATTTTGGTAAGATAAACAATGGCAAGATTTGCATAGTTAATGGTAGGAGTCTAGGAAGTGTTGCCAAACAGAGAGACCAAAGGGTGCAGGTACATAGTTCCTTGGAAGTGGAGTCACAGGTAGACAGGGTGGTGAAGAAGGCATTTGGCACGCTTACCTTAATTGGTCAGAGCACTGAATACAGGAGTTGGGCGATCAATTTACGACTGTACAAGATATTGGTAAGGCCACATTTGCAGTACTGCGTACAGTTCTGGTCATCCTGGTTTGGGAAGAGTGTTATTAAACTGGAAAGTGCACAATAATGATTTATTAGGATGTTACCAAGACTGGAGGGTTTGAGTTACAAGAAGAGCTGGGACTTTTTTTTCCCTGGAGCATCAGAGGCTGAGGGTTGACCTATGATGAGAGGCACAGAAAAGATGAATAGCCAAGGTCTTTTCCGCAGGGTAGGGGAGTCCAAAACTAGAGGGCTTAGGTTTAAGGTGAGATGGGAAAGATTTAAAAGGGACCTGAGAGGCAACTTTTTCCACAGAGGGTGGTGTGTATTTGGAACGAGCTGCCAGAGGAACTGATAGAAGCAAATATAATTACAAGAAACATTTGGACAGGTACATGGATAGGAAAGGTTTAGAGTGATATGAGGCAAACAAAGGCAAATGGGACTAGTTCATTTAGGAGACCTGCTTGACATGGATGAGCTGTGCTGAAGGCTTGTTTCCTTGCTGTATGACTTTAGTATCTCCAAGATGACAAAATCTTGAGGGGATACCTTTGTTCAGTTCACAAAGGTGAATGAAGAACTAAAAAAAAATGGAAGGGAGGAAGATGAATGATGATCTTGTATCATCAATCCAGTGAAAAGATTGCCAGTTTAGAGTAAAATTTGGAGCAACTGAACACAAGACAGAACAAGCCCAGTAGGAGCAGCTACAGAAATGTTAGCACGAGGTCAAATTGATGGTCCTGCAATAACAGCTGGAGATGCTCAGCATGCACAAGGAGTTGCAAGTCATTTGTGAGACAGTGCTTTGAGAAAGAAATGATGCTGTAGTGAAAGAATTCAAGCAGGCCATAGAGGAAACCAAACAACAGGCAGCAAGTAGAAGAGGTCTGGGCTTCAAATAATGCATAAAGAAACGAAAAATTTGTAGGCACTAAGTAGTTATTAGAGCAGGTAATTAAGGAAAAAAATAAACTGGACCAAAGAAGGCTAAAGCTTTGATCGGATTAGAAGAATCCAGGATTTAGAACGAGAAGCTTCAAAATGAGTCAGAAACTACGAGGAACAAAGCAGTGAATGCTTAAAAAATGTACACCACTTGAAATACTTTGAAGAACAAAATCAATCAGTTGTTAATGCGGAACAATTCATGACTGCACTACATCAGGATAAGCAAATTTGGGAACAGCAGCTGCAGTTTATTAGGGAAGAAAATGACAGTACTTCCAAATAAAGTCACCATTACAAGATCTGGACACACCACCAAATTATCTATACATTACAGAGACTCACGGCCTCAATTGTTATTGTAAATAGTTTAAAAATTCTTTTGGAAGGAGGGAAGTTTTGTATATTTGACTTGCCTTAAATAGAATTCACCTTTAAATTGTCCACATGCTATATGTACGCAAAGCCACATCATTCCCTGGTAATTAGTCTGCACACCAGTTGGTTTGGTGGAATGTCCTTTTCCTAACCTGTAGTGTGTTTTACAGTTTTAACAGAACAAATCCACAGAATTAATCAATCCCTGACAAACAGTGGATCATTAGACCATTATCGTTGACATGACAAGACCCTTGTTCTCGTGATTAAATTATAGCCTGTGCATTTAACTTAATAATCAGTGGAGCTAACACAAAGGGGAATCAGATAACAAAGATAATTTAATATGGTGTTTGTACCAATGTTAAATACATTATATATCCCTATATTTATTTTTGCAAGCTTTAGACTTTTAAACCATAACACCTAAGAAAAAGAAGCAGTCTATGCTGTTAATTGCAGTATAGTGAGTGATTTAAGAAAGTGTTTTAAATGTTGCCTTGAAATAGAGATGATAAAGCACACTTCTCTTATTTACACATTTATAAGAAGCTGGTAAAGAATAAATTATGCAAAGACAATCATGGAAATATGAGAATAACATGTATGTTTTATGTTGGTGCTTCATTGCTGTTTGTTAATGTCTTGCAATGAATCACTTTGGAACAAAATTATGCTGGGGATAAAATTAAACTTTGGTGGGGATCTAGGTATCAATGTAAAAGCAGGTTGCATCTTACCATCAGATTCCCACTCATTGCATTACCTTAGTGACATTTGATCTTTTAATAAAATTACAGACATTATATCCAAATACTGTACATTGTGCTCAGCAATTTTATTTATATCATATAAATGGATGACTAAATTATACAATTGAATTAATTATGAGTCTTAATTGGCTGGCTGGGAATTGAACCTGAAATATCCGTTATGCTGAAGCTTTTGTCTCTCACACAGAAGCATCCTTAGATTACTATATGTGACATGTATCCAAAAGCCAAGTGAAAGGCTGTTTATTTTGCAGTTTAGGTTTAGTTGATTTGATGGATTTTTTTGGATAGTCAATAAAGTGCTTTCTTTCACACAATGGACAGGAAACTAATTAGAAACAGAGTGGCTGTCACATGCTGAAAGGTTAATGAGACTTAATCAGTGTTCAATGAAGTGACAGGTTATGATCTAATTTGAATACTTCCCTGAGATAATGCTCAAAGTGACATTTCTTGTGAGAATGAGCAAGTTGAGTGTGAGAGAGGGTAAATTAATATTTGTGACAGAAGCTTCCCCCCACCACCCAGCCAACCCCATTTAACATCCAGGATTGCAGCTTTCAATCCTCCAGACAGATTTGGGGAAAGGTTGGGGAAGCACTGCTTCAAATCTTTAAACTTTCCAGGTTTAGCAACTGAGCCTGAGATTGTAAGTGTTATTAAGGTAGGCATTATTGCTGTCTGCATTTTTAGAACATGAAGGAACTTTGATCATTTTATGTACATATTGTACAATAATGTTTCACCTGAATGTTGCAATTGCATATGCAAATACTGCGGCGTTCTACCCATTAGAAGCTTTCCCCCTCTGTTGAATGTGATAGAAAGCAAACTGAGCCGTGAGCAAGATGCAAAACAGAATCCCTAGATTCAGCTATAAGGGTGGAAGTGATGTATTTAGTGCTTTAAGTCAAATTGTGCTACATTCAATATTGGCTGAAAGTAAAGACAGCAATCCATCATGTTTTTATCTGAATCATTTGCTGTTTCCTTTCCCATTAAATGCTTATTGGATTTGAGCAAATAAGTTGAGGATAGTTTTAAGTTTAATGAGAGATATCTGCTAAAATTAAGTAGTAGCTCTGGGTGTATCTTTTTAAAAAAAATATGTAAACTCTGTATAATCTTTGTCAGTATTCAAATATAAAATATCTAGAGATAGTGATCTTGGAGAGCATTCCAGTTCTACAACTCCATGTAAGGGACTAAGCAAGTAAATCCATCGTGGTTATGAACCATTTAAACTGTAGTCATTTAGCTGTTAATGCACACTTGTGCACTAATATTTAGTTTTACAGATTCACTGCTGGGCGTATATTCTATGGAATTTAGATTGTTGGGGGTGATTTAATCAAAGGTTTTAAAATCATTAGAGAACAGAGAAGGTTGAGAGAGAGAATCTACTAATGTTTGAGAAACATAGAACTAAGGGGCACAATGTAAATTAGAGCCAGATCAAGTCAAAGGAAGAAACAATTATGTCTTCAAAGGACATTAAAAGGTTGGAATTTGCTTTCACCAATGACAGTTGATGTTAGATTACTGATTAATTTTAAAACTGAGATTAATATAATTTTGCTAAACAAAATTGAGAGATAATGAGCAAAGGTTAGTATGTGAATTAACCATTACCTCAATAAATTGCAGTGGTACAAGCTTGTTGGGTCACATGGCCTTCTCCCCCATCTATGTTCCTGCAATTCCTTTCTCCATATCTGATACATAGCTTTAATGCTTGCACTTTAACTGCTAGTTTTGCCAGTTTTAACAAGTCGTCAAGTGGTAGAGCTAGTGATTAGATGCCATGTAAGGTCGATACTTCTGCTTGCCCGCACTTTGAACATGAAGTACGATTTGCCATGCCAATTTGGCAGTTTTCTATTTCAAAGATCATTCAGAAAAATGTTGGTTTATGAGCTGGTCAGTAAAATACATTTATTTGTTGCAATAAGATCTCCACCCTCCAATTGTCGATCTTAAGTAATCTTTTTTCAGACAGCAACTTCCATTTGATTACTACCTTTTATTATTGTAAACATCGCAGAGGAGAAATGAATGACTGACTGGCAATGGTCTGGAATAGAGGGTTGGAGAAATTGTACCACATCAAATGATACGCTATAGCTATTGAGGAATTCTTCAACTTTTTGCACAGTTACTGCAAATGCCATAATCACAGCTGAAAAGTCTCAGCAATTATCAGCATTTTTGATTGAAAGTTATACTGTAGTATTGGGCCCATTTTTAAACAGCATGGTAATGTCATAAGTTATGTATTAATATGTGTCTCACTCATACAGGGATGGGGCTCCTTTCTGTGAGGCTGATTACCATTCTCAGTTTGGCATCAAATGTGAGCGCTGCATGAAATTCATTACTGGAAGAGTACTGGAGGTAAGAATTTATACGGTGCTTTTTAAACATTTTGTCACCCTTCTACTTTTCCTTCTCAACTTTTTATCTCTTCTTTACTCTTCTTACTGTACCAGCTTGGGTTTACCCTATTGATGCACCCAGTTTTGGTGGTTTTCAGGTGTACATCTTATGAATGGGAGGCATTGAGCTGCCATTCTTCCTGTGCAAATTGTGTTCTCCATTCTTTACTCAGTATGATGTTCATGGAAGTATATGCTTCTCAAATATGGTGATAAATAGAAATAAAATTTAATTAGTTGCAGTGTTGAATGTTGATCACCCTCTTAATAAATTAAAGCCTAAGGGTATTCAAATTCACTCTCTGCTTGTTTCATTTATGGGGATAACTTCTCATTGTACCTGGCCCCTTTTACCTCAAACGCACTACTTGCTTCTGTTTGCCTTTAATAATTTTAAATGATTAGACCAGATCTCTTTTTAGTATAAATGTTGCCAGGAAGTTCACACTCAGCGTTGAGTTTGATCTCATACATCAATTATCTTAGTATAGAATTATCCTTGTCACCTTTCTTTGCACCTTCTTATGAGCTGCAGTATCCTCCTTGAAGTGGTTAGTGATCGCATTCCATTCACCTGGCTCCTGAGCTTTCCTGGAGGGTGTCCTTTAGTATAGAGAGCACTCTGATTTCTCTCCACAGATGATGCCAGATCTGCTGAGCTTCTCCAGCAATTTCTGTTTTCGTTTCTGATTTCCAGCATCCACAGTTCTTTTGGTTTTTATTTAACGCAGCCACAGAGTCTGGACTTCCATTCAGATACAACAGAACTGGGAAGGGCTTTTGCTGGATGCATATAGGAGGATAAGGCTATCAGGTGCAAACAAAAAAAGAGAAGATAAAACCTTGAAGTATTCCAGGCTTCAGTTTAGCACTTACCAAAGGATTCAATTAGGCATCAATATCACTCTGCATCTTAGTGCTCTGAAACCTCTCACCTTTTGGATAACATGCTTCTTTTTGTTCTTCCTACTAAAATGGACAGTTTCATTTTTGGCGATATACTTCATTTGCTAGATCTTTGCCCATTCATATAACTTCCTATATCTCATTGTAACTTTCTTATGTCATTTATGCAAATTACTTTTCTTCTTATCTTTGTGTCTGGCTGCTCCAATTCAGTTTCTACTCAATGGTAACCTGAGGGAGATTGATAGTGAGGGATTTTGTGATGGTGATGCCATTGAATATCACATTGAGGTGGTTAGATTCTCTCTTAATGGAGATGGTCATTGCCTGGCACTTGTGTTTCATAAATGTTGCTCGTCACTAAACAGTCTGGATGTTGTCCAGGTATTGTTGCATATGAACATGAGCTGTTTTAATATCTGAGTGACAAATACTGCTGAACATTGTGCAATCATCAGCCAATATTCCCACATCTGACATTGTGATGGAAGGAAGGTCATTGGTGAAGCAGGGAACATGGTCGGGCCAAGGACACTACTCTGAGGAATACCCATAGTGAAGTCCTGTGACTGAGAGGATTAAACTCCAGCAATAACAGCCATCTTTCTTTGTGTCAGGAATGACTCCAGCAGAGAGTTTTCTTTCTGATTCCCATTGGCTACATTCAATTTTGCATGGACTCCTTGATTCCATACTTGGTCTCCTTTGCCATGATGTCAAGGATAAAGGGAAGGGCAAGAGGTTTAGAGTATTTGAGGAAAAGTCTTTTTACCCAGAGGGTGGTGGGAATCTGGAATGCACTGCCTGGCAGGGCAGTAGAGACAGGAAACGTCACCAACTTTTAAAAAGTATGTGGATTACCACTTGGAATGTTGTAATATTCAAGGCTATGGGTCAAGTTCTGGAAAGTAGATAGGTCAGTGCAGACTCAGTGATCCAAAGGGCCTCTTCTGTGCTTTATGACTCTCTGACAGTCACTCTCGCCTCACCTCTGGAGTTCAGCTCTTTTATCCAAGTTTGGACCAAGACTGTAATAAAGTCATCAGTATATTGGTCCTGTCAAAACTCAAACAGAGCTTCAGAGAGCAGATTATTATCATTTGATAGTACTGCTGATGACACCATCCATCACTTTGCTGACCATCAAGAGTAGACTGGCAAGACTGTAATTGGTTGAATTGAACTTGTCCTGCTTTAAGCAAATAAATAGCTGGTCAGTTTTCCATATTGTCTGGCAGTGCCAGTGTTGTAGCTGTCTGGGAAAGCTTGCCTGGGTGGGGGAACATGGGTCTTGAGTACAGTTACTAACCTTTGCAGTATCCAGTGCCTTCATCTATTCCTGGATATCATTTGGAGTGAAGCAAATTGTCTGCAAATTGGCATCTGTGACTTTGAGAGCTGGGAGCAGTGGAGGAGTTTCAGATGTTTTATTCATTTTCAGGGAAGATCGATGTGAATGCATCAACCTTGTCTTTTTGAGATATTTGTGGAGCTACGTCTTCCTGTTAATTGTTTCATTGCTCTCTACCATTCACAGTTGAATGTGGCAAGCCTGCAGAACTTGAATCTGATTCATTGGCTGTGGGAATGCTTAGTTCTGTCCATTGCATGTTGTTTCTGGTTTCCATACTCACCTCAGGATATGAAATAAATGCAGTAGCAATAAAACAAATGTGTAAACTTGTGACAATAGATTTGACATTTTAAACTATTAAGCAATTGAGATACATACACTCACTGTCAGAAAGCAGAGATCAGCTTCAAAAGGTTTTTACAGTCCAACTAATAGGCAAAGCAAGCCTCTCAAAGTGCAGTGACAATCTATTAACTGAAGTTGTGTTCTTTCTATGTCTGACAGCATGCATAAGTTTGTTTAAACAAACACATTTCCTTAAGAGTGAGCTGTGTCTATCTTCTATTAGAATTGATGTATTGTGAGACTCTGTATGGTGTAAACTGTTTAATAAAATCAGCTGAGAGGTTTTAAAGAATGTTTCTGCCCAGTCTGCAGATTTACATTAGAATAGACACATGCTGTAGAATATTGAATTCAAATTTGTTTGTCTCAGGATCAGAAATAGTTGAGTATGCTACAGGGGAGATTAAGTTAATTTTACACTAAGGCTGGCAATTTTCAGAGTGCGGAATGCTGGGGTGCACTTCCCCAACTCAAGAAATGATAATCAATCAGAAGACTCACAGAAACCAGTTACTGAAATTACACCTGGGAAAAAAAATATTGCAGACAGTATTTTCTGAATATTTATGTTTGACAGTTGAAGCAATCTGAATGACTCTAATGTTTTGACTTGATGCTGTTCTATCTAATTTTCTTATTAAAGGCAGGAGAAAAACATTACCATCCAGACTGTGCACGATGTGTGAGGTGTGAAGAGATGTTTGCAGAAGGTGAAGAAATGTATCTGCAAGGTACAAATGTTCTTGAAAGATCATAATGGACTATTACTGACTGTACTTATGCCTTAACCAGTTTGCCCAAGGCAACCCCAAACTCATGTTCCCTGCTGCAATGAGAAATATCTTGCATTGATGGAGCTTTGTTGAGATCACATGGGATTCTAAAGAAATGGGATTGTATTATGGTCAGGATTCTGACTGCAGAAAGCCAGATGCAGTACTAAACAAACCCTGTTTATCTTAATATAATCGAAAACAATTTAAAGAAAGAAAGTGGGATCAAAATAAAAACAGATTTTCTTATTCAAAGAAGTAATAAAAATGAAATGTGTAGTTCTAGACTGCTGTATTTGAGTTCAAGCTATTTCACTATGCAGCATTGCTATAATTGGACAAGTGCCTTTGGAGGTCCAAAGACTTTGAGAGGATAGCAAATCATGGCCCACAGTTTCACAAAGAACAAAGCAAATTACAGTACAGGAACAGGCCCTTCGGCCCTCCAAGCCTGCACCGACATGCTGCCCATCACAACTAAAACCCCCTACCCTGCCGGGGACACCATCCCTCTATTCCCATCCTATTCATATATTTGTCAAGACGCCCTTTAAAAGTCACTATTATATCTGCTTCCACTACCTCCCCTGGCAGCGAGTTCCAGGCACCCACCACCGTCTGTGTAAAAAAACTTGCCTCGTACATCACCTTTAAACCTTGCCCCTCGCACTTTAAACCCGTGGCCCCTGGTAACTGACTCTCCCACCCTGGGAAAAAGCTTCTGACTCTCCACTCTGTCCATGCCCTTCAAAATCTTGACCTCTATCAGGTCGCTCCTCAACCTCGTCATTCCAGTGAGAACACCCCAAGTTTCTCCAACCTCTCCTCATAGCTAATGCCCTCCATACCAGGCAACATCCTGGTAAATCTTTTCTGTACCCTCTTCAAAGCCACCACATCCTTCCGATAGTATGGCGACCAGAATTGAACACAATATTCCAAATGCGGCCTAACTAAGGTTCTATAAAGCTGCAACATTACCTGCCAATTTTTAAATTCAATGCCCTGGCCAATGAAGGCAAGTATGCCGTATGCCTTATTGATGACCTTCTCCACCTGAGCTGCCGCTTTCAGTGACCTGTGTACCTGTACATCCAGATCCCTCTGTCTATCAGTACTCTTAAGGTTTCTGTCATTTACTGTATATTTTCCATCTGGATTAGACCTTCCAAAATGCATAACCTCACATTTTTATGGATTAAACTCCATCTGCCATCTTTCTGCCCAAGTCACCAACTGATCTATATCCTGTTGTATCCTTTGACAGTCCTCATTGCTATTCACAATTCCACCAACCTTTGTGTCATCAGCAAACTTATTAATCAGACCAGTTACATTCTCCTCCAAATCATTTATATATATTACAAACAGCAAAGGTCCTAACACTGATCCGTAAGGAACGCCACTAGTCACAGCCCTCCATTCAGAAATGCAGCCTTCCACTGCTACCCTCTGATGTCTATGACTGAGCCAGTTTTTTAATCCATCTTGCAATCTCACCTCTGACAACGTGTGACTTTACCTTCTGTATCCGCCTGCCATGAGGGACCTTGTCAAAGGCCTTACTGAAGTCCATGTAGACAACATCATCAATCATCTTTGTCACTTCCTCAAAAAACTCAACCAAGTTTTGTGTGGAGTTGCGAGAAGCATTTACCTCTGTGGTGGCCTCTATCTGCTTAAGGACCACTAGCTAAAACAAACCAAAGAGAGGCACTGATCCCCTTACTAACAAATTCACAGGACCTTTGCAGGCTATGAAAATTGTTTCCATATCCCCTAATTTAATAAATATTTCTGACTGGAATCTTACCTCTCTAAATTAGATCACTTTGCCCTATTTTGAAAACTAATGAACTGATGTTCAGTTACACATCCATTTTAGGTGGAACTTCTTAAGCTTTTGCTCCTTTGGAATAATCCTTGTCAACAGCCATTTCCCACATTTGAGGTAAATTAGAATGTTAATTTTTTGCTTTTTGGTTTTGCTTTTTATCTTGTTTGTTTCTAATGATCAGCTTAACATTCATATAATTGTCCCAAAAATATTGATTAAAAACTTGCTTTTATTTTAGACTTTGTGTATATGCCTAAATTACAAAAATAACTATACTTCAAAAATAGTCATTGGCTGTATTTTTAGGAATCTTGAGGACGTGCAATTGCAAGTTTTAAAGAAGTATTTGAATGCCTAAAAAGGAAGTAAAAGGATGTTGATATTATGGGGGGGTCAGAGCATGGGAGCTTGATTCTACAAAGGTGAAGGAATCTGCAAGAATTTCATGCAACATTCGATTGTGTTGATACCTAGAGAGTTACAAACACGAGCACCAGAAATGAGCCTCTGTTTATGAATAATCAACACGACAAAAGAATGTGCAGAATCAAAATTATTCTTAAATCCTTGTTCTTGCAAGATGCTAATCTGCATTCTTTACAATCCACTTGATAGTGAAAGATTCTGAAAGTTAGTGTCCCCATATTGACTTGCCTGATTTACAGCATTTCCTGCATTTGTGACTTAGTCTGGGCAATCCTGCAGTGAATTAAAACCCTCTGTCATACTGGGGGCAGTAGATTCCACTGCTATGCCCGCCACTGCCATATAGAATAAATAGAACATTCAAGACTTACAGATGTGTCTGATTATTATTTTATTTAATCCATTAATGGGATGAGGGCATTGCTGGCTAGGCAGCATTTATTGCCCATTTCTAATTGCCCAGAGGCAGTTCAGAGTCACCCACTTTGCTGTGGGCCTGGAGTCACATGTAGGCCAGACTAGGTAAGGACGGCAGTTTCCTTCCCTAAAGGATGTTAGTGAACCAGATGGGTTTTTTCCTGACAATCGACAATGGATTCACGGTCATCATTAGATTCTTAATTCCAGATATTTATTGAATTCAAATTCCACCATCTGCCATCGAACCCAGGTCCCCAGAATGTTATCTGGGACTCTGGATTAACAGTCCAGCGGTGATATCACTAGGCCGTTGCCTCCCCATTGATGCGAAGGGAGCAAAATCTTTTTCTTACAATAATGATCAAAGTAACTCCATGTTTTCAAGTCACGAATCGAGTCAAAACACCACTGTGGCAAAGTTAAACAACTAAAGAACAAGACTGCAAAGGTTGTGAGCTCTGGATTATTACCTGAGCTACATGCAAATTGGCAAATAGATAAGATCAGTGAAGTAAATTTGGTGTGGGTAAGAGGGTTCCATGTCATGCTATCAGTGTTGGAACAGGAGGGAACTGTACCATCAAGACAGGCTGCACATCCAAGGGTGGCATGATGACTCTGGTTAGCACTGCAGCCTCACTGCACCAGGGACACGGGTTCCCTTCCAGCCTCGGGTGACTGTCTGTATGGAGTTTGCACGTTCTTCCTGCATGTGTGTGGGTTTGCACTGGGTTCTCCAGTTTCCCCCCACACAGTCCAGCAGTTGCAGCAACGTTTGAGTTGGATGCTCTTTCCAGGGTCGATGCAGACTCAATAGGCCAAATGGTCTCTGTCTGCACAGTAGGGATTCTATTATTCCACCTGAACCAATCTGGGAACAGGAATCAATAGAAAGGCAAAATAGGGTGGTTGCAAGGACTTCAAACTAATTAAAGGCAGGTTGGGGGCGTGGGGGTCGGGGTGGTGCGTAGGAGACGTTAGTCAAATTTCCAGAACAATTTATAGGGCAGAGCGTATGGAAAGGGTCAGGAATCTAACTTCAGGCACAACAGATCTGAAGAACCTATGAAAATGGGAGGTTAATACAGAACTGAGGGTGTTATATTTAAACACGTGTATATATGAAACAAGGTAAATGAGTTTGTAGCACCGTTCGAAATTGGCAGGTACAATGTCATGGACATCACAGAGACATGGCTGCAAGAGGATCAGGGCTGGGAACTAAATAGAGTCAAAAAATTGTACAGCACAGAAACTGACCCTTCAGTCCAACACATCCATGCCGACCAGATATCCTAAATTAATCTAGTCCCATTTGCCAGCGTTTGGCCCATATCCCTCTAAACTTTCCTATTCATATGCCCATCCAGTTGCTGTTTAAATGTTGTAATTGTACCAGGTTCCATCACTTCCTTATTCCATGCAAGCATCACCATCTGCATGAAAAAGTTTCCCCTTAAGTCCCTTTAATATCTTTCCCCTCTCACCTTAAACCTGTACCCTCTAGTTTTGGATTCTCCCACCCTAGTTCACCCTGTCCATGCTCCTCATGATATTATAAACCTCTATAAGGTCATCACTCAGCCTCCGATGCTCCAGGGAGAATAGCTTATTCAGCCATTCTCTACAGCTCAAACCCTCCAGTCCTGGCAATATCGTTGTACATTTTTATGCACCCTTTCAAGTTTAACAATATTTTTCCTATAGCAGGGGGACCAGAATTGAATGGCAGTATTCCAAAAGTGGCCAAACTAATGACCTGTACAGCTGCAACATGACCTCCCAACTCCTATACTCAATGCACTGACCAATAAAGGCAAGCATTCCAAGCGCTTTCTTCACTACCCTATTTACCTGTGACTCCACCATCAAGAAACTATGCACCCCAAGGTCACTTTGTTTGGCAACACTCACTAGGACCCTACTATTTAGTGTATAAGTCCTGCCCTGATTTACCTTACTAAAATGCAACACCTCATATTTATCTAAATTTATCTCCATTTGCCACTCTCTGGCCCATCAGCCCATCCGATTAAGGTCCCATTATGCTCTGAGATAACCTTCTTCACTATCGACAACACCACCAGTTTTGGTGTCATCTGCAAACTTACTAACCAAGGATACCAAATATCCAAGGAAACATGACCTATCAACAAAACAGGCAGATGGGTAAAGGGTCGAGGTTGCATTGTTCGTAAGAAATGAAATTGAATCGATAGCAAGAAGCAATATAGGTTCAGAAAGTGTAGAATCTGTCTGGGTAGAATTCAGGAAT